GGTGAACCTGGGGCACACAATTGCTGGAGGAACACTGCTTGGAGGATTATCTCTGCAGAGCCAGGCTTAACACACTACCTCTCTTAAAACAGAGCTCACCTTTCCCAACTTGCTGTTGCTGGGAGGAGACAGCTTTGGAAAGGGAGATTGCCAAGTAGTGAGTGAACAGCAACAGTTTTTATGAGGTTGCAAGCTGTTTGGAAAGGCTGGTGGGTCCTGAAATGTCATCCCAGCAGTTGTCTTGATCCAGTCTGTGAGAAGATGGAATTATAAAGTCCAGTTAGGAATACATTGAAGCATTGGGGCATTTTGTAGTGCTGGGTGAGAAGCATGGGTTTGGATCTGAGGAAGGATCTTGCTCTAGTCTCCTGCTTTGTAGAGGTTTGTTGTATACAATGTGAGCAAGTAGCATTTTTTGAAGTGGTTAAACATAAACAATCAAGAATTTCCCCTTCCTGCCAAGGCAGTTGGAGCAGAAGAATAATCTTCAGCTCAGGCTTTGGACCTGACATGTTAGCTGGTTGGATTCTCGATCCTTTCAGTGTGTGTTTCATGCGGGAGGATATGGCTCAAACAGATGTAGCTCTTTCTAAGCTTGACTTGCCTGAAAGGCTGTAACTTCTTTTGGCTGCTCTTCCGGGTGTTGGCTGCTGGTAGCTCCTCATAAACATCCAAATACCAATTACCCAAAATTTGCTTATCATCCACCAGCAAGTGTTGGCTAATTTGAAGCCATAACATTTTCTATATGGAAGTTTTTTTGTTTGCCTGTAGATAGCTGCTGTTTTAGCCTGGTTGAGATCTCCATGTGTTTGTAGTTTCCCTGTTGTCCCTTTTGCCCAGCCTGACACAGAAGTTGCCTGGGGCTTGCAGTCCTCACTGTGTCAGCAGCGCATTGTCCCTGTATCAGCAGGAGCCTGCAGGCTTGTGGCACATGCTGTGCAGTGCTCAGAAGACTAGTGCTGAGTGCTTACAGGCGGTGCGATGCTATTTCTGCCTGGCAACAGGAGGAAGACCTGTCCTTCAGTGACAAATAAGAAGCTAAGCCTTTTGACTCAGCAACACAGGATGCAGAAGGGAAATCCTGATGTTAGGTCAGAGCTGAGGACTCTGGAGCAGCAGTTGGTGCTCATCTGCAAAATCTCACTGCCCTGGAGCCAGCCCTACCCCTACCACTGTGATGGCTGAACAATTGAGAGAAGAAATGCTGCCTAACACCCCTATGCCCTGGGCGCTGCTCCCAACCATGTCTGTGAACAGCAATGTGGCAGGAGTTCCTTTGGAGGCTCAGTGACAGCCAGTCCTTGTTAGACCTGGGCAAGGTTTACCATCAGCTGGTTGCCCGCTGCTGTGACCTGTGTCTAGTCTTGTGTCTTGTAGTTTATTGCTCGGCTCCTCACCTTGAGTTCTGTGTACTGAATCCACCTAATCACAGTAGAAGGTTTGCCCATCTTTTAGCCATGACTTTGCCATGTTTTTCCAGCTCCAAAAAAGCAAATGCTGGAAAACTGCATCTTCCAATACGTTGGATAATCACACACCTGGAATTAACTTTCACACTGAGGTAAGGTTAACTGACCTGTTCTCTGTCATCCCATGGAGAAACTTCCCCAGTCATTTTGTACCATTATATAAATATATATATATAAATATAAATATATAAATACAATATGTGAAGACATCTTATTGGTTTTTATTTGAAACAATTTTTAGGCTTGTTTTGGGTATCTGTGCTGCCTGTAATGTATTGACCTGTTTTATAGGTGCCTTTTTATTAAAAAGACAAATTACAAGACCTGACCCTGTGCCTGTATTTTTCCGCATGATTTTCCACAGGACTGCAGCAGAGACAGAGAGTGCGAGATGTGCTGGAAGGACTGCGTGGGCATTGGGGCAGCCCCTTCTCTGTAGCACTCCCAGGCACATATTCATTCATGCGTTCACTTACTTGCACTCACCCATGCATGCTCCACTGCCTGCCACGGCCCTGTGATCACTGTGTATGCATAGCAGGATGCTCTGCTGGAACCCCAGCTCTGTCTCCTGGGAGACTTGGCTGGCCTGCAGGAAATGCAGAGCAGGGTGCTGTTGTGAGGGTCTTTGTGTTCCCATCTTTGGAGTTGCCTTCATCAGAGACCAGGGCTTCCTCTGATTTGTCTGCTGGAGCCTTGTTTGCAGAGCACAGTCCGGGGCTGGAGGTGCAGAGGGTGTGCTGTGGATGGCGGTGACATCACCTTCCCACGCATAATCTCCCTACTTTCTGCAGGAGCCACCTTGAAGCTCCCCTTGGCTCAGTCCCCCTTCCCGGTGGCCTGGGTGGGCAGAGTGCACCTGCCTCACTTGGCAGCCATGGCATAGGGGCTGAGCAGAACTCCACTGGGGAGGATGAAGGTTTGCCTGAGGGCTGCAGGGGTGGCTTTGACAGTGTGGGTACTTAGCAGGGAAGCCTACTCTGAGGCAAGGTGCTGTGACAGCCATGCAAACCTTGATGAGATAGCAAGGATTTTGCTAAGTGGAAAGCAGAGCTTCTTCTGCAGTGAAGGAAAGTTCCTCTTACTTTCTTCTTGTCACCATTCAGCAGGCTGGCTGCAGGTAGCTGTGGGAAGAACAATCGCAACTCTTTGGGGAAGGTCTGCCAGCTCTGAGCCAAGCCATTCCCAGGCTGTCTGGGCCAAATGTAGGTGTAAGGGCAGTTAGGTTAGCAGCTGCTATAAAACTGGGGCAGGAGGAATTAGGAATTAGTGGAAGAGGCTCCATAAAGCAGAGAGGTCATACAGGTCTGGACTGACTCTGAACACAGCAGAGCCTTCTGTGGCACTGGTGAAGGGGAATCTGAGCAAGGTGCTCCTCTAAGCCCTTTGAGCAGAGCTTGTCAGAAAGGTGCCATCTGCCCACTTAGTTCTCTCTGATGCATCTTCCTTGAATAAAGTGACACAGTTACAGACAAATGCTTACAATCACTATATATTAGAACATGTTGTTTTATTCATCCATTTATTACAGCTTACCTCAAAACTTCCTAAAGGTTAGTACATACCAATACTAAAAGCTATAGTAACAATACATGTGTAGTCTGTTCGCTCTCATTTGAGTGCAGATTTTCTTTTTACTTTGTGACCACTGTAGGAATTTTATACTTTTACTATTATTTTTTTCAATAACAGTTTCATGAGAAACACAGTTGTCACCATAACCTGCTAGGGAGGTGTTTACAATGCATCTGCAATGGGTTTTCTCACTGGTACAACCGTGAAGAATACAAGTGCAGGCTTAAGAGACTTGCCCTTCTCTGCTGCATGTATGCGCCTGAACAACTACAGTGCCCATTACTTGAAAGTTTCATCTTTGAAGATACGGTGCTGCAGGAAATGGTGGACTGCCTTATACTAGGTGAGTTTTTCTCCTCAAGTCACAATGTGAGATCAAGCTATCGAGATCTCTGCTGAGGTAATGTGCTCCCTTCCATAATGGCTGGTCTTTTTAGCAGGGCCCTTGAGTACTGTGAAGTTCACCTGGGACTGAGCTGTCTGCTAGTGGGATGAACTTCAGAAGTGAGGTTAGCACAAAATTCCTGCTACCCCAAGAGAACTAACATTGTTTTGACATTGCTTAAAATGCGAGGTGAAGGGTAGAGGAGATTTTTAAAGTGTGCTTGTGAGGAGGGTTGTGCTCATGTGACATTGGTATGTATGGCTCTCCTACAGTTCAGGCCACAGCAGTCTTCAGGAACAGAAATGTCATGGAGCAGTGTTTTGGGCCTGCTGCCATGTTAAACTGTGACAAGACCTCCCAGGCAGCAGCAAGCTGTCTTGTGTCTGCTGGGGCTTCCCCACACACCAGCTCATGGTGCAAGAATTAATGATGGGGAAAGCTGCTGCTCTTACTTTGAACCAAATTATCATCAAGCTGCCCTGATCTGAGCAGTTTCTGCATACTTGCAGTTCAGGGCAAGATCACTACTCAGGTGCAGGTGGAGGAAAACTAACAAAGCACAGTGCAAAGCAAAATGCCACATTTCCTCTAGCCTTGCTCAAAACAAAGTAGACTTTCCCTTATTCTGGGACAGTGAGTCTCCTTGCTCTCAGAACCCATAAATAGCCATACATCTAGCTGCCAAAAAAAAAAAAACGTTATACCATCAGCTTTACAAAGCTGTGTGGTTTCTCTCCCCTGTGTGCAGTCACAAGACAGAAGCCATCTCCTCAGATGGTGTTCTTCCTTAAAGGAAAACTTCTGTATAGTCAGGCATTCAGTTCAGCAGCCACTCACATGAGATCATAACAGCAATAAAACAGATCAAATGAGTGGGGAAGAATGCTACTGGTGTCAGGAAAGGAGTCTGTAACAGCCAAATCTTTCAGTCTGTGGGAGGACCTCCTGGCATGAGCTGTGTTGTGAAGATTAATGTGTTGTGGTGGGCTGGGGGGGATGTTATGCAGCAGGAGGACAATGTTGCAGTCAAAGAGTGTCCAGCACTGTATGCCCATACTATTGGATTGAGCAGCCCCCACCAGTTCCACCTGCATCTCTCCAGTTGCGATGGCCACCGAATCCCACGGCTTCCCTTAAGCATGTGTGTACCAACCTTAGCCAGTGAAATGGAGACCTGCTAACTGACATGACTCATTTACTTGGCTGCACTTTTTTCCTTAACCCTGGCACCCGAGTCCTGTGCCTGGATTTGTGCACAAGATGCCTGCAGTCCGTTTTTCGAGGGAGAGGTGGGAATATCAGATTCAACCCACTTGAGTGACCATCGTCATCCAGCTCCACAACAGTAACCGTCAGACATCCAGCTAGATCTCTACAAAGCTTGAGAACCACAAAGAGCTAAGTAAGGTGTCTGATGGGATGTGGGTGTTTGGTGGCTATTGGATCTGTTTCCTGAGGAGTGAAGAAAGTTGTGGGGATACTTGTGAAACTTATAGCTGAGACAACAGCAAGTGTGTCCTGGGAAGGAAAGACCCAGGCCACTTCTGCCTGCAGGCAGCCCTTCTCAGCTAGAAAGTGGAGATGGAGGTGGTGTTGTCAGACTCTATCCCACTACCCTTCCTTGTCACCTCCAGGATTTCCTGCAGGGTCTCCTGGCTTATGCAGCCAAGCTCCTGCAGGATCCGGAAGAAGTCGTTACGGAACTTGACCCCAATAAAAGCGTAGAGGATGGGGTTGAGGCAGCAATGTGTGAAGCCAATGGCCTCTGTCACCATGATGGCTGTGTCCAGCTGGTCTTCCAGGAGACAGTTCTTGGTGAAGGCTTCTAGCTTGGTAAGTGTGTTCAGGAAGATGACAATGTGGTATGGGCTCCAGCATAGGAGGAAGATACCTGTGACCAGGATGGCCACACGGACAGCTTTTTGCCTCTGCAGGCGCTGGGACTGACACAGTGCCCGGATGATGGCCGTGTAGCAGTAACACATGACCAGCAGAGGCACAAAGAAGCCCACGGTGTGGTAGAGGAAACGGGTTGCCAGCCACGCATTGTTTCCATCAATCCCAACCTCTGGAAAATAGCAAATGCTGCGGTTGCCGTCATCTGTCCAGACTTCCATGAAGATGAGATCAGGTAAAGTCAGAAGCAATGAGCAGAGCCAGACAGCCATGCAGGTGAGGTGGATGGAGTGAGCTCTGCGTTTGCGGTAGGTGTGGATTGCATAGACGATGGCCAGGTAACGGTCCACCGCAATGCACCCCAGCAGCATGCTACTGCAGTAGAAATTGATTTTGTGGACAGCACTGAGTATCTTACAGAGGAACTTCCCAAATACCCACCCAGCCAAACTCTCCACCACACTGAATGGGAAGGTGAGCAACAGTGCCAGGTTGGCCAGGGTGAGGTGGAAAAGGAAGTTTTCTGTGGTGGTGCGAGACCGCTTGAACCTCTCTAAAATGACCAGGACCAGAGCATTGCCTAGAGTCCCCAACACAAACATCAGTAGATAGATGAGGGGCATGAAGACCTTTCTGAAGGGGTCTCCCTGGTTGCCAACCACAGATGAGGCTGAGTTGAAGCAAAAGTAGCCCTCCAAAGAAGGGGTGGTGTTCTCAGCTTCGTAGTAACCACTCAGCTCTACCTGGCTCTGGGGAACAGAGAGAGTCTTGTTAATGGAGGGGAGTTTCTGAACAGAAGAACCCAGTCCCCCAGCTGCACCTGGCAGACCTAGAGCAGAGCACCCCATGTCCTGCAGCCCACCTGCATCAGGAAGAGATGCTGTCAGCAGTGTAATGACATTGGAGGCCCCTCTACTGCCAGGAAGTACAGCAGCAGGTGGAGAGGATTTTATCAATCAGTGACAGTGAGGGCTACTCAGTCTATAATCATTAACTGGAGTATTGTTTTGGTGTCCAATCAGATGATCAGTTTTATCTTCTGGTTCTTGCCAAGTTACCTGCTGGCGAATTTTGCTTTCTCACATAGAATGGAATCCTCCTCTACCAGCTTTCCTGATTTTTCCCACCCATTTCTTATATGGACCACTCCCATCCTGCCTGCTGCCTGCTGCCTGCTGTCAGGTATAAAGGTGGTAGGATTCACCACACAGCACATCTGTACCTCAAATTCTGTGCAGTGAAACTGTCCCCTTCTTCTCATCCTCAGAGGCCTGAGAGCTGCCTATGAGAGAGCAAGGTGAGGTGGGGTCATCAACAGCTGCCCTTTGAGATCTCTTCCCACACACTCGGAGGAAGGTGTGGGGCAGGTGTTCAACACAATGGGAGGAAAACCTCTGAGGCCCTGTGGTGCCCTAGCTACAGGAAGATATGATGGAGAGAGAGATCTATTCTGTTGATAAACCTTTCAGTTCTGAATTAATTGCAGTCAGAGCAGGAAAGGAAAGGGAAAACACCACTCAGACTCCAGACTGATATCCAGTAAGGGAAGTACAATAGAGCTACTTGCAGATGTGACTCGCCCTTGGCTTGCTGTATTTTCTTGACCAGCCTGCATTCAGGCTGAAGCTGAGGGCAAGTCTTGAGTGCCAGGAAGCTGGAGCTCAGGATGAGCTCCCTGGATGGTGGTCATGCTTCAGCTGGCCTTGCACAAAATGAGAGCAGTGAAGGAGGCTTGTGGCAAACTGAATATTAGTGACAATTGGGAAGAGCTCAGCAGCAGTCACCCTCAGGTCCCCCACCCACACCCTCTCTGGAGACCTGCGCTGAGCCTTGTGTTGACCACAGCGGAAGTCTCTGCTAATGCTTTCATACCTTTCACTGCCAGCTGCAGCCGTTTGCACCTGCTGCTCCTTCCCTCATCAGCCAAAGTTCCTGTCTAAAAATACCAGCCCTGCTTTACACAGTTTTGGACCTGATTTTGGGGGTTTTTGCTCACCAAAGGGGCTACTAAGCAAAATTACTGTTACCAGCCTGGAGTCTTGCATTGTACCTAGCTAAGGAAGTGTGATTTATGTTTCTTCTCAGGCAGCTTTCCCTGGGTAATGCACTGGGTGCCTCTGCACATGACTGTGAGGGGTAAGGAGGGCACTTGGCAGCAGCAGGGCTTATCTAAACTCCTCTGCTACTGAAACCACCTGCATGGTTCCAAGAGGAGCCTGAGTATGCTGATGGGGCAAAAGTCTATGGGGCATTACCAAACTCACAGAGCACACAGCAGGCGCAGGCAGTCCCCAAGCAGTGGATGGTAGGAGGGTCCACTCCCTAGGACCACTCCAGTTTCCCAAGGGAATGAGTCCTTGGGAAAAGTGTGGAATAACCCTGCCCAGCTCTTGCTAATGTAACTGTGGGGCTGCAAGCCTTTGGTGAGAAGCATTTTGTATTACCAAAGAATTTTTCTGGTTTAGGGTATGATTTTGGGCCTTAAGAAATCCCTCCCAGTTATTTTCCTACCCAGCTTTAAAGTATTTCCTGCTTACTCTATACCCGGACCTTTCATGAGGAGTTGACAACACACATAGAAATCTGTGATGTGGTGGCCAAGGCCAGATCCTTGAACCTCTCTGATAAAAAGCAAAGCAACCAAAAAAAACTTTGCAATTTTGTGTAGTGACCAAACCAGGCTGCTCAGGCTGTGCAGGTGACTGTGCTAAAAAACCCAAATAGATTATATGTTGAAACGGGAAATTTCACTGGGAAGAGGCTGGATGATTCCAGCTTTGAAGGGAAAAATGTAATGATGAAAAATAGCTGGGTTTGCTAGCTTGGAGCCATGCCAGCACTATCTATGGCAGTGGATGGGCAGCTTGGGTGGTGTTCAGCGGCTTTGGCTGCTGATCAGTTTCCAGGATCACCTTGTATTTGGAGCCGGAAGTGCAGAGGCTGAGTGCCACTATCAGACACCATCTGATTGCTGATGGGGAGCAGGTAGGGAGGGCTCTTACTGTAAACCACTCGCTGTGGGTAGGGGAAGCGTGTTGGAGCTCTGTTTGAATCGTCCTTGCCTGCATCTCTGAGCAGAGCAGCACATGTGGGTAGGAGCAGACAGAGATGAGCTGGAGACAAATAGAATGAAAAATCAGAGTCTGGGCTGAGACAGGAAGGGCAGGAACCAGAGCTGCAGGAGATCTACTGAATATGGCAAGCTGAGGCTTCTGGGAACTCTGCTGCAATTCTAGGACTGGAAGTGGATGGCTGCCATATCTGGGATGGGATAAGTGAACAGTGAGCATGCAGAGGGACCTTTGTACAGGTCTCCTGCATGACAATTGCAGCAGGTTTGGGGGTGGAAGAAAAAGTGTTGTCTGTAATAGAGCAATTGAGTGCATGCCTGGGAAAACTGTTCCTGCATGCTTTTTGGTCGAGGTTCCCTTTACCCTATAACCTGCATCACAGAGTTATTCTGGTCTCCCTTTGTCAGCTGTTTTTCTCAGTTCCCCACAACTGTCAGCGATCAAAATATTTGGCTGTAGAAGTGAAGCAGCTTGTCCACTGTTACGGATTTTCCATGTGAATCATTCCCTTCTAGTCAATGCCAGGGCTGGGAGCAGCAAATCTCATTTTGAAAACCTCAGAACTGTAATTGCCCACATCAATACAATATACTGACAGAGCTTCTGCTCATGACTTCTGCAGGGGCTGAACCAGGGAAATCCAGGAATAAGACCAAGGCCTGTGGAAATTACATGTTACTGCAGTGTAGGTGCCTTAACGCTCTTGAGTCATGGTGGTCCCATTGCAATGAAAACTGGGCCAAGGAACCTCAGGGAACCTAGTATAGATCTCAGTGGTTTTTCTGCAACTTGTTTTTGGATGTCTAGTCCGCAGATGAGGAAGGTTAGCAGGCAAAGCATTTTTGCTATGGAGAAATGGGGTTATCATTTTGGACACGGTACTTTTCTGCAAGGTTACAGAGTCAAAAGTCTCATATGATAACAAAATTTACATGAGGCCCTCACTGTATTCACTGTGTGATACTGAGATAAATGCCCTTTTGGTGTAAATGTTCTCATAATTTTTCCTTCCATAATTGCTCAATTGATCAAACGATCCTCTCTGCACAAGGCAGAGTTTGTGTTGCCACCTTGACAAGACACTTTGGAGGCCTTTTTTTTCAAATCTTTATGGGTAGGTTGCTGCTACAAGCACTGAGTATAAGTAAAGCAACATATGCCACCACCAAAGCAAATACATTGATGCTCATGTGATATCTGCGGCCTCCCTATTCCAGGGAGGGAGCCAAATCTGGGAAGCTGCCAGAAGACAGAGGTGGGAAACAACACATATCAAACTCCCAACTGCAGAAGTCTGAGAAAAGGTCTAAAACTCTTCCTGCTGTGGCACCTGACTGTGGGTGTTTAGTCCTAAAATCAGCTGGGTTCTGCCACCCAACCCTCCACTCACACGGGGTCTTCTTTATTATGTAAAAGAATTCACAGCAGAGATAAAATCACAAAGCTAAGGATTATGTAAGTTTTGTATGCAAAGAAAATGAGATGAAAAAGGTTTGAGTTTGGTTTTAACCCCTCAGGAAATTTTAGCACTGCCACTGAACTTCAACAGAGGTCAGGGAAAGAAGTGTCTTCTCCAAAAAAGTTTTAAAGGAATGACCACTATTTGCCAAGGGTTTTTATACTGGATGAATCAGAAAAGAAATAAATAGGGTAGGGCTTGCTCTTCCCTGGTGTGTAGGAAAAAAGGAAGAACAGAAAATCAGGTAACAATTGAATCCAACATTTCTCTTTTTGGAATAATTAATCCTGAGGTCTGCTGCAGGGAGCCACTGTAGTAAAAAAATAAATTCTGAGATGCAATATTTGATAACCAGGTTAATGATAATGCTGCTGTGTTCTTCCCGTTGGATAGCACAACATACTGTATAAGGTACAGCTGCTCTTTTTCACTTGTAAAGGCTGGGAAGAGAACTAAGGTAGAATACCTAGTGTCATCACTCTCTGTTAGAAGTAGTACTTGCAATCTATCTCCCACTCTTTAATCCTGTCTTGTAAATACACTGCGTGTTCCCCTTTCAGCAGAGTATATGTGGAGCCATATGTATGGAAGCCTGTATGTGGAGCAAGTAAGCAGGGTGGTCATACCATACCAAGGGTTTTTACACACGTAGAGAGAAGACTGGGTTTGCTTGGGTATTCCAGTTGTCAAAGGAGACCAGAGAAGGTGTACAGGGCTTTGCACACTGTGTACACAGTCATTTGTACTACTGAAGCCTGGTGCAAAAGGTTCCTGGCTCAGAATAACTGTTTTATGCCCATGTTGTGCTAATGGCTGTGCAGACAGCAGGGCAGCAGGAAGCAGAGGCAGGGAGAGGCTGGCAGCACAGGATGGGACTGCTGGAGCCCCACTCTGGCAGAGACTCCTGACTCTTTGCAGAGACTCTGGTCTGTGTCCTCATGAAAGGACAGTACTCGGGCTTAGTGCTTGCTAGTACAGGTTCCGTTAGCTTTCCCCAACAGAATACCCAGCATCCCTGCATCACAGGCTGGAGCCACACTACGCCAGCTCTCTGCAAGCAACAGCTTGTAGTCAAGTCTGGATTTAAGGGATGCAAGGACTAATTATGCTGGCATAAGAAATGGCTCAAGCTCTGCCTCTGCCAACAGGAGGGTTAGAAGATGGATGGCCAGAAATCTGGCCTTTCAGCCCACCCTAGCTCTACCTGCCATCCCTGTTATCAAGCAAAGCCAGGCCCAACTCACCAAGTCATAGGTCTCTGATGAGTAGCTGACAGGCCCCATGGTTTGAGGGGCACGATCCGTCTCTCCTCCAGAAATTGCTGCAAAAGTTATTTTCTGAGGTGGAGTTAACAATTTAAGTGAGTGGGGAGGGACACAGACTGTAACAATAGAGTATTTGCAAGGCAAATGAGCTCCAGGCATAGAGTGACCTGATTGATGTAAAGATTAACATCTAGCTTTATAATCTTTTTACTAGTGCTGTAATTGATTTTTAAAGTAGAGTTTGAAGAGTCCCTATTCCTTTGATCTATACCACAGAAGATCCAGAACATATTTAGGTCTTCCTTGGAAACCTTGCCCACAGCTGTCTTTGTTACAGGTGGTCCAAAAGGCTTTGAAAAGTTCTGTGCTAAGGACCACCCTTACCAGAAACCTCCTGGATCCAGGCACTTCTCTGGAGCTGTGCAGGACTTTGAAGCATGGGTATGGTCTGTATGATCATCACCCTCTGCCTTAGGGTCCTCCTGGCTGCTTTAACCCCACTGACTTGTAGTGGTCTTCTGCTCCTCCTTCTGCTGCTTCACCCCTCCTTTGGGCTTGGCGGGGGGGTGTGAGGTGGCTTGCACAGGAAAGCAAAGCCTTGCAGCTACTCTGCAAGTCTAGAGCAGGGCTAGCAGGGGCTAGGCAGCTTGACTTCACAAGGGTAAGTAAGGAGAATCAAGATCTTCTCTGCTTGGGGAAAGGCATTTTGTTCAGTGATGTCACAGCAACAGACTCACAGTGGTCTGGGTCAGCAGAGTAGGTCGGCATTGCAGCTGGCATTTTGGCAGAAAGCTTTACCTGTGCGCGGAGCTGAGGTGGTCTGCCAAGCACAGTTTTTGTCCTCCTCTCGTCTAGGTACAGCTGCATCAAGGCGTCTCTACCAGCAAGGACTCTGGTGGGACTTTGTACTTGTGAAGGAGAAGGTGGTGTTATTCCCATGAGCACTGCTGGATTACACCACTCCTGTTTCTTAGACCCCGACTTGTTGGGCACCAGCTGCCCCGAGGATGTCGCTGTCCTCCCATACCGTGAGGACCTCTGTGTGCACCTGCACGTGCTCATCAGCTCCTGGGCATTTTCTGCTGACAGGATGGAGAGCAGCAGACCCGGAGGGAGGCCACAGGGAGCTTGCACTGTGCCTCACTCACAGGCAGAGCACAGACTGAGCAAGCCCTGTCCTGAACCCCGTGCTGCGAGGGCTGAGGGGCAAGGCGAGGAGTGGGGTATCACTGGGAGACGAGAGGCCAGGAAGGATGTTTGCAATCAGCTACAACTGGAGGGTGGAGCTTGTGCCTTTTGCTGCTGAGGGTGGAAAGACAACCACCTACAGACTGCTGGAGCTGTGAGGAACTAGATAAAACCAGGAATGTCCCTGTCCTTTTGCATGTATTTTGGAAAAACATTTGAAGAAAAAATTGTCTGCAAAGCAGTCACTACTAAGATTACATTCCCACTGTGTCTCGGTTTGTCAAAATCCACATCTAAGTAACAGCAATCTAAAGAGAAATGCCAATCCCCAGCTTGTCACGGTCGGCGGTTACGACTCCTGCAGGCTGTGGCTCAGACCCCCGTTGTTAGGTTTGTGTTGGCTCTGTTTTAACGGCAAAGCCCGGTCAGCTCCCCGGGTCAGAGGGGAGGGCCGGCTCTGAGGGAGGGGACGAGCGGCCCGCCCTCGAGCGCGCTGGGTGCGGCGTGACGCACGCCGAGCGTACGGGCGTGCGTACGTACGTACGTACGTACGTGTGCGTGTGGGCCGGGGCGGGGCCGGTGCCACCCGCCGGGAGGGGGAGGGCGCACAGGAGGAAGGAGGAAGCCGCCATCTTGGAGCGTCGAGTCGCCATAACAAGGCACCGGGGGAGCGAGAGGATTTTGTACCTGGGCGAGGGGGAGCGCGGCTGGTGGCGGTGAGCACGGGCCAGGGCGGGCGCGGCTCCGTGGGATCAGGGTGAGGGGGCCGCTGCCGGCGGGCCGCGCCTCGCGGCCTGCGGCGAGAGCGCGGGCCTGAGTGGGGCCTGGCGACGCCGCGGGCGGGGCGGGGACGGCCGGACCGGGCCTGGGCGCACCGGAGCGGCGGGGCCGGGGCTCCGCGGGGGCGGGGCCGGGCGGCTCTCGCTCCCCGCCGGCCCGGGCGGCGAGGGGCGGCCGCTCCATTGTTCGCGGGCGGGAGGTGCCGGTGTGGCGCAGCTGCGATCGGCGGGCGGCGCCGGGCCCGCCGCTCTGCCCCGGGGCTCTGCACTGCGGCCCGGGCTCATCGGGCGCGCTGAGCACCTCGAGGGCTCCCTTTGTGCCGGGCCCAGCCGGCGGAAAGGGAGAGGTCCGGAGCTGCTGCCCTGGCCGCCCGCCTGCGCCCGGAGAGCAGAAATATGCGACGGAGGCCCTTTTTTTTCAGTCCGTTGGTTTGCAAAATGGTGGCGGTTTTTTTATCGGAACAGGGATATTTTTTTGGGTTCCGTGAGACTGTGCGGTTTTTTTAACCTGTGCTCTTCAAAAGGATAGTTACGAGCTTGAAGGCATAAGGGACTGAGAGGTTTCATTTCCTACACCATTGGAGAACTTATCGGTGTTAGTAGTCGGGTCTCATTGGCGTCTCTGGCTGCCTTCGTAACTCCTCTGGTTTTTACGAAGTTAATTGCTAAAAGAAATATCTTTCCGAAGATGCCTTGAAAGTTAACTAGCAGAAAATCCTAGTATCGCAAACTTTCAAATGTTGCTGGAAGCCAGCACTAACACACCTTAAAACAGCTGGGAAGTCTGAATTCCTTTTCCACTTTCTTGAAATGCTCTTCAATATGCTTTTTTATTCACAGGGAAGACATGCATTTTGTTGTGAATGCAGAGGTTAGGAAGCAGTAGTCTGCTGGTTTTCCCTTTGTGTTTTCCCAAGATGCAGATGCTCAAGGCGAGCCTACTTTTCGTTCCAAAAGATTTTGGACTAGGGACGTTTTGTCTCCCTGGTATCATTGTAAGGAGTCTTTAGCTCTGGTCCATACTTGCATTATGTAAGAGGCAGACTATGTGTTGTCTTTCCATAGTTTTGCAACCTCTCTATTACATACAGTGTCAATATTAAGTCATGTGTATGAAATGTTATCTTCTGAGGACCACACAAGTTGTTGCTGACAGTGGGAAGGTAAGATCACAAGCAAGAAGCTGGGGAACCAGCAGCGTTGCTGCCTCAGTTCAAGCTCAGTGGCTTTGACTCCAAGAGGCAGCTGCTCTCAGTTCAGTGTAATGGTGTTGGTTTGTCGCTCTTCTGAATAGCCTTAAATCAATACCCGGTTGAAAACTGGGGGTAAGCTGGTTGAGCTAGCATTTTGGGTTGGAGGAATGTAAGCTGTTGGTTTGGTTTGCATAATCTATATTTCCCATTCAAACCAAACAGGGCAATTAGTTTATAATGTAAGGGTTTTGTCAGTTCTAACTGGAATGTCCGCTTGATATTGTAGTCTTGCTTCTTGTCACAAATTTACGCATAATATTGTTGTTCACGTTTTAGGGCTGGTTGGCTGCATCACGGAAGTGGGGGAATTGGAGAGCCATCAAAGCAATTGATACACTTAATGGTTACTTTATCAGAGGGGGTAGGTAGTGGAAGGTCGCTGAAAGTACAGCTGTTTGGGAAGTTTTCTTTGATGTCTGAAGATGTTAGGCAACATTTTCTAGAAAGACAAAAAATGTTTGATGCATGTCTTTATAATTATCACGAAAACGGCAAGTACTGTTGTTGCACACAGTCTGGAAGAAATTTTTCTTAAAATACAAAAGTAAACTGATGTGATTTGCACAGAGAAAAATCCATATGCTAATTGTTATTGTCTGCTTCTCTTTCAGATTGAAGCAAGTGAATTGTGATATAACTGAACTTCAATAGAGGGCTTTTTTTAAAAAAAAGTTGTTCCACAGTGCATCAGAGCAAGTTACTGCTTTACTTTTGAGTGACTTACAGGTGCTTGCCTGCATTGCAATAAAGGACTCATATATTGAGCAAGACTTATTTATCTCTTCATTTTGGAGAGTCTAATAAACTGTTATTACAGTTTCTGTACTGACTTTCAAAGTTTTGAAGTCTAAAAAGACATCTTTAAAGATAAAAGCATGAGCACGGCCAGAACAGAGAACCCTGTTATAATGGGTCTATCCAGTCAGAATGGGCAGTTGAGAGGCCCTGTAAAACCCAGCGGGGGCCCAGGAGGTGGAGGCACACAAACTCAGCAACAGATGAACCAGCTGAAAAATGCCAACACAATCAATAATGGCACTCAACAGCAAGCACAGAGTATGACCACCGCTATTAAGTAAGTGTTTGTATCGGCTGCCATGCAAGGAATGTTTAGAAGTTATGTATGGGAAAGCATTCTTGGATTCCCACTTTGAAAATGCTGCCTTCTGTTTTGTCACATGGGTGGTTAGAAGTGTCCTGTCATGTGCATTACAAGTATTTCCACATGTGAGCTTCTCTCTTTAACAGTAATTTTTGTGAAAATCCAATTTGGTCCTGTGCTTTTCTGAGTGTGAGCCACTGTCAGAGGTAGCCCAGCTTTTGAATCCTGTGTTTTTTGCTTGCTGGAAGTGGTGCAAGAAGGAAGTATAGGAGTGGGAGGGAACTGAGCTGACGTTTAAGACTGAGGAGGAAATGCCACCTGGTCTCAGTCTAATTGTTTCTGCCTTTCAGTTTATTGTAATTCTTTCCCATGGTGAAAAATGCTTTAAAGTCAGTTATCTTCTGTTATTGATCTGAAATAGTAGTTCCTGATCTCCTCATTGTAATGCTCTGGCTTTAATTTATCAAAGTCTGAGCTGAGAGGATACAGTCCCACTCTGGTATCCTGGTCCCATCCAGCTAGTTTTGGAAGTGTGCTGGTTGGAATTTCTAAAAGGTGTAAAATACTTGTACGGTATGGTAACCTGTTTTGGTGTTTTGTTTTTTTTTTTTTGTTTTTTTTTTTTTTTTTTTTTTTTTTTTTTTTTTTTTTTTTTTNTTTTTTTTTTTTTTTTTTTTTTTTTTTTTTGGTTTTTTTTTTTTTTTTTTTTTTTTTTTTATTTTTTTTTTTTTTTTCTCCATGGATCCTACTCCCTTTCAATAGCACTGGCTTTTATTTTGTTAATTACTTGTGAAGGAAGTGCCAGGTCTCCTCAGAGAAAGTATGATGGGACACTCAGGTTCTTAAAATCTGCCTAACCTGCTCCCTCCCCTCCTTTTTTTTAATGTATTACATGGTTGCTCTAATGCATGTTGCAAATTAAACTCCTCAAAATTCATGCATAACTTCCTGGGACTGGTGATGAGAAAGACTTGCTCTCAACCCTACAGTGGCTTTCAAGAGAGGATGGGTATCTAAATCTCACTGAGGGAAAACGAAGTTTGGTCAGTAAGTGGAGTGATTGCTTACTAAGTTTTTTCACCAGAAGTGTTTTTTACCTTTTCATGTTACTTGAGGATTAAGAATGGA